TTAATAGGGCCTGCGTGTCCTGTCTTTCTCCTCTTCTCGATGTTCATTCTCTTCTCATCTCATTCCCCTCGAATGTAAATCGAGGTTTCTAAATTTGTTGATGTAAAATTAGTTTGAGATTAATTTTATTGTAAATTTAATATGATGTTTTTGTATTGTACTTGAAGTTGGATCAAGGAAAAGACGACCATACTTAAAGACTCAAGATTTTATTACAGGACCCCTAGGTGACCTACTAATTCCTCTAGGTCAGCTACCGACCATACATGTGTTCGCATTTTGCCCTTGCACTTTCTCTAAAATTCCATCTATGTCCCTTAGTCAATTACCATAATGCCCGCATTTTTATTGCATTCTCCATGAAATTCTATCTCTTTTCACTCCCCACAATTTCAACTAATTTTGAGTGAAAAGACCATTTTACCCTCAATGCAAGTTTAAGGCATTTTCTTCACATTTTCTCAAAATAACTTTAACAAAAATCAACTAAAGGTATAAGAGCATAAATTAAATTACGTACCTCCATGTAGGCGTTACAATTCTCCCACTCTTATAAGAATTTCGTCCCCGAAATTCAAACAAACAACTCGGGATAGCAGTTTCGCTTGTCTTGTTCTACCTCCCATGTTGCTTCTTCTACTTTATGATTCCTGCATATGACTTTTACGAGTGGAATACTTTTGTTTCGGAGCTCCATAATCTTTCTATCCAATATCTGTACTGGATGCTCCTCATAAACAAGATTCTCTTCTAAGTCCACTTCTTCTACTTTTAATATATGGGAGGGATCACTAATATATCTTCGAAGCATTGAGGCATGGAGCACATTATGCACTTTATCCATATTTGGTGGTAGCGCCAATTTGTAAGCTACCTTTCCCACTTGTTGTAACACTTCAATGGGGCCAATATATCTAGGGGCAATTTTTCCCTTACCACCAAATCGCATTACCTGCTTGTAGGGGGAAATCTTAATAAACACTTTATCACCCACTTCAAATTCTACATCCTTTCTCTTTAAATCTGCATAGCTCTTTTGTCTGTCTTGAGCTTGCTTCATTCTGTTCTTGATCAACTTAATATCTTCCATCATTTTCTGAGTTATCTCTGGTCCACGAGCTATATTCAAAGCATCTTTCTCTCCCACTTCATCCCAGTATAGTGGGGATCTACATCATCTACCATATAAAGCTTCATAAGGACTCATCTTAATTGTAGACTAATAGCTGTTATTGTAAGCAAACTCTATCAATGGTATCATCTCATGCTAGGTTGTTTTGTAATCTATACAACACGCTCTCAACATGTCCTCAAGCACCTGATTGGTTCTCTCAGTTTGACATCTGTCTGTGGGTGGTAAGCTGTATTGAATGCTAAACTAGTACCCAAGTTTCTCTGTAGACTAGTCCAAAAAGCTGAAACAAATATGGAATCTCTATCTGATACTATTGTCTTGGGCACCCCATGTAATCTAACTATCTCTCTGATGTAGATCTGGGCCAACTGCTCTGAGGTGGTATTGTCCCTTACTAGAAGAAAATGCGTTGATTTGGTTAATCTATCTACTATCACCCATAGCGCATTATAACCCTTTTAAACTCTTGGAAGGCTTGTAATGAAATCCATTGATATATCTTCCCATTTCCATTCAGGAATGCTAAGTGGATGAAGTAGTCCTGATGGTCTCTAGTGCTCTGCTTTAACCTGTTGACAAACCAGACATTTAGCTACATAATCTCCGATATCTTTCTTCATAGCTGGCCACCAATAATTCTTCTTTAGATCTTGATACATTTTGGTTCCTCCAGGATGAGCAGTATATGGTGTGTTATGAGCTTCCTCAAGAATCTTCTTCTTCAACTCAACATCTTGAGGAATACATATGCGATTCCAGAAATGGAGGACACCATCTAGAAGGTGAAATTCTAATATCTCGCCTTCCAACACTTGTTGACTTATTTTCTTACACCACTCGTCAAAAACTTGCTTTTCTTTTATTTCTTCCAATAAAGTAGGCTAAATTTCCAAGCTGGCAATCCTTCCTGATATCACCTCAATATGTTCCCTGCATAATTCTTTCAATAGTTCTTTCTGCATTGTGAGTCGGGACAAATAAACTTTTCTACTCAAGGCATCAGCTACTACATTAACTTTTCCAGGTTGATACTTAATCTCATAATCATAATCTTTGACTAGCTCTAACCATCCCCTCTGTCTCATATTCATCTCCCTCTAGGTGAAGAAATACTTCAAACTCTTATGATCAGTATAAATATTGCTCTTTGCTCCATATAAGTAATGCCTCCATATTTTTAGTGCAAAAACTACCGCGGCCAACTCTAAATCATGCGTAGGGTATCTTGTCTCATACTTTTTTAATTGTCGGGAAGGGTAAGCTATTACCCTACCCAACTACATCAATATAGCACCAAGTCCCTGAAGTGAGACATCTGTATAAATATCATATATAGAATTGTTGAAAATGGACAGGTCTGATGCTATAATGAGTGAGTTTTTGGCTCACAATTTTGTTGAATTAGAGAGTTATGGAAGTGTAGCCAGCATGGTAGTTGCATGTGCATATGAAGTGTTTGATGAAAATCCAAAGACAAATTGCATGCCTGAGTTGGCTAAACCCTAAGGAGGAAAGGGTTAGAGAAAGGCAAGACTTGAAGTTTGAATGTATATTATTGATCTTTTAACCTGTTTTCACAGGGGAGAATGGTTAGGGAAGGTTAGGGAGTAAGTGGAGGTAAATACGTATGGAAAAGCCTTAAAGTAGGCATGTTACCAAGGTTGCCCTGTCAAGTCCATGACCTTCTGAGTGATTTTTGGGCATCTTACCTATCGAACTGGGTTAAGTCCTAAACATAAACATTGTAGCCCTTTCTCTAATCTTTAAAATAAGACAAAGATCATAGCAATCCGATGTGTATAACTTGAGATATGGCTTCTTGAATATGACATGTGCAGAATGACTATCTCAAAAGTGATTCCACTTTATTAATTTGCTTGTAGCTTAATAATCAATGATTGATCCTAAGTATGAAAATGGTGCTTAAAGGGTTGTGAAGCATGTTTGAATGAGTGGTCTTTATGATTATTTAATGATTGTATGAACATATATATTTGATGTAATGAATGACCATGGAGGCTATGTGTAATATGTTATATACCACCTAAGTATGCGCTTGTGTATGTATAAACAAGCCTAAGGATGATATGTTTCAATGAATTTGTTATGCATCCACAAAATGGTCATGATGAAATGATATGTTCATATATGGAAAGTGTATGTTTTTTAAAGAATGCAAGTGTAGAATTTCCATAGCTTGGAAATTCATGTTGAAACGTGCATAGTATCTCTTTTTATTCTCTTTCTATATTATGCTATGATATAAGGTTTTTGTGATGGGGAACCCGTGAGTGATAGAGATGCCCACATACATGCTTCCACGAGTGAGCGGCATCAATAGAGAGGTATAGTATTTGTATAGTCCATGAGTAGTGTATGTGGATGAGGATTGTACCCAGTAGAGCATACCTACATGCACGCTGCCATAAGTGAGCTGCCACAACAGAGAGATACAGTACTTGTACAGTCTGTGAGTAGTACATGTAGATGAGGATTGTACCCACTCACGTGGCTAGGGTTCCAAATCCATGCATCAACCTAGTCCGATCGGCAAACTATAAAGAAGGAATAAAAGAAAGAGAATCGAAAAAGAAAAGAAAGAGATTACAGCATAAGAGAAACAGAAACAAAAAGGAATGAAGAATATAATCAAAGAATAAAGTGAGAAAACAAAAAATCAGAACATGAGTAACGGAAGAAACACAGTAGTGTAGTTTGGTTTACTTATTGAGCAATTAGTGCTCACTCCGTTAATTTATTGTTTTGCAAGTACTAGATGATTTGCGATCGGGTGGGATGTCAAGAAGTGGTGGAGTTTGGTGGCACTATTCAAGATTACCTTATGTTACTAAAGAATATCAATGTTATGTATGTATATATATTTATGAATTAAAAATTAGAATTTTCGGATTTACATTATGTATATATGTTTGTAAAAGTTATCTAATAAATTTTATCTTATATTTCTTATAGAATTACTAGTTATATAGTATATTACATTTTTGGTTTCAGAGCGTCGATTTTGAACCATCTTTCTTGTCCTTAGCACATTATCTTTCTTTGAATCATCTTTCTGTTGCTCATTTGGAGGCTCTTTGACAATGATTTCTTCATCCATTTCTTCGTCAGATTCTTCCTTCTTTTCTAGATGTCTCTCATCTTTCTTCCTTGGTTCAATATCTTCCAAAACTGTCCCACTTCTAAGAAAAATTGCATTTGCTTGCTCTCTTGGGTTGGTCACAGTCTACTTGGCAAAGAGCCTGGTGTTCTCTTATTCAACTTTTTTGAAATCTGACCCATTTCAACTTCGAAGTTTTGAATAGAAGCTCCCTAATTTCTAAAGCTTGTTCTTGTCTTGATCATGAATTTCTCAAACACATCTTCCAACTTGGACACTCTTTGTTCAACTTGTTGAAGATTTACCACCGATTGTTAATTCATCACTGGTCTTTGATTCCCTTGATTATCTTGGTTGCTTTGATTACTCTAGGAAAGATTCAAATGGTTTCTCCAACCAAGATTATAAGTGTTTGCGTATGGATTGTTCCGTGGTCTTTGATTACTAGCCAAATAGTTAACTTACTCTGTTGATGACGATGATGAGGTTAATGTTTTCCCCGTTTGACATTCAACACTTGCATGAGCTCCTACACAAAATTCACCTGTTACTTGAGGTGTTTGAACAAAATTAACTTGCATACCTCTTATTTGTTTCTGATAGTTGTTACTTGCCAAGACCTCAAGTAACTCATAAGCTGCAACTGGTGTCTTGTTTTGCAAAGCTCCTTCGGATGCTGCATCTACCATTGTTTGAAAATTTGGAATCAACCCATTATAGAAAGTTTGGACTTGCTTCCAAATAGGCAAACAACGATGTGGACACTTTCTCATTAATTCCTTGTATCTTTCCCATGCTTCATACAAGGATTCACTTTCGCTCTACACAAACGAAGTGGTGTCGTTTCTCATTTTTCCTGAAAGGGCTCGTGGGAAATACTTGGCAAGGAACCTTTGTGCAAGCTCATTCCAAGTCGTGATGGTTCTAGCAGGTAGTGACATTAGCCATCCCTTTGCCTTATCTCTCAACAAGAATGGAAATAGTCTTAATCTTATGGCATCATTTGCACTCCAATGGACTTGAATGTATCACAAATCTCCAAGAAGTTTGCTATGTGCAGATTGCTAAATCATTTAGATGATAACCGGCTTAATCTCAAGGTTATTTGCCTCAACAAGCAGTCTTGTTATGCTCGGACTACATCTCTCAACTTGTGGAAGTGCAAATTCCCTTAAAGTTCTGTTATCAGCCATGACTAGAGTGCTAGAGTAGATGCCCTAGAGCCAATCAATTATTGTAGAATTGACTCTTAGTAATAATGTTCATTGATCAATAAAAGGCATTTTATTCTACATCATGTAAATCATATTGTATGTATTCACATATGTTTTTAGGATTGTAGAACCGTGACAAGGGTATCAAGTGTTTCAAATCTTGATATTGAGAACTTTATGATCACATATGGTGGCTATCCTCCAGATGTTCGCAGCCACGGTATTATTTTGACCAAGGGCACAGATAATATGGTAAGGCTATCATAGTGTTGAATGACCCTATCAAAAGGTAGTGACTGATCTCACTTATCAAGGTTGTTTGTCGACAATCTGGTGCAACACATGGGTGCTTGCTTTAGGCAAGTTCACTGGATTGGCCCACTAGAGGATTCCATGTAGATGGTAACCCCAGTGTCTATGGAATAAATCCTCTAACGAATGGTGGTGCATGTGATCCTTAGACTTGAGATCACCAGAGTGCCTTGCACACCGATTGGTGTAGTTTGTGTTAGATTAGATGCCCTAGAGCCAATCAATTATTGTAGAATTGACTCTTTGTAATAATGTTCATTAATCAATAATAAAAGGCATTTTATTCTATATCGCGTAAATCATTATTATTGCAATATGTATTGATATATGTCTTTAGAATGGTAGAACCATGACAAGGGTATCAAGTGTTTCAAATCTTGATAGTGAGAACCCTATGAGCACATATGGTGGCCATCCTAGAAATGTCTGTAGCCCCAATATTATTCTAAAGTAAGGTCATAGATAATACGGTAAGGCTATCATAGTGTTGAACGACCCTATCGAAAGGCAGTGACTGATCTCACTTGCCAAGGTTGTTTGGAGACAACCCGGTGCAACACATGGGTGCTTGCTGTAGGCGAATACACTATAGCAAGTTCACTAGACTGACCCACCAGAGGATTCCATATGAATGGTAACCCCAGTGTCTATGGAACAGATCCTCTAACGAATGGTGGTGCATGTGATCCTTAGACTTGAGATCATCGGAGCGTCCTATGCACCGATTGGGGCAGTTTGACACTAGCCTAACACAGTTTTATTCAGAGTTGTCAATACAGTGGTGACTGGCTGCATCAAGGAGTATATCAAGACTATGGTGGATTGACAGAGGATTCATCACTCCCGGGTACGGGAGAAGTTATCTCACGACGCAATTCAGTATATGGCAATGACACAAAAACTGTGGCCACAGTGGGATTGAGTTGTTGCTCTATCCAGTTTACAATACAGGTCATTGGTCCAGGAACTGAATACATAATATCAAGAATAACTAAAGGTTTACACTATTTCTATGCCTTCGTCTCGTCGAGATAACGGATGATGAAAGGATCGAAATGTACGGTAACCATATCGTTGACAGGTAGCTACTTTGCTGAATCTGAATCTATCGGGTGGCCATGATGCCTTGCTAGGGGCCAATCTTGGTCTGTGTATTAGTGAGACGATTAATTGGTGTTAATCACGATATTATACATTGTCGGTATGATAAGGAGCCTATGGGTCACACACATAGAAGATAATTTAAGACTTAGGAAGAAAGAAGGGTGTTTTCATCTTTTTAGGAGAAAGGGTATTTTGGTAATTTCACAGTGCAATTAAATTTCCAGAGGTCGTAGCCTTTATTTATTTTATTAGAAAAATTAAATAAGAGAAATTATGTTTAAATATGTGTTCGCATATATTTAAATTAAATCATCATTATTGTTAAATGTTAATATATAGATTAAATATATATTAATTGATTTTAATTGAGATAATGATGAAATAAAAATAAATATCTAATTGGGAGTGTTTGCTAACACGGGGTGTTTGGGTTGGAGCCCAAGACTATTCCGTATGGGAATAGGGCATTAAAATAACACTATAAAATAAAATGTTTCTTTGTAAAATGTGAGAGATTTTCATAAGTTTATTTTTCTTTGAAAAGGCACAAACACAGTAGCCCCAAATACTCTCCCACACCAGTTTTTGGTGTAGCCTAAAATCAAATCTATTTGATTTTTCTTCTTTAATCTTAAAGCTAAGGAGGATCTAGCAAATCCCTCTTTAGTTCTTTGTGATTGTCTTCGTGTGGGCTACGTGGGTTTGATCCTACGCTTGGGTTGGTAGCAAAACGTTCATTGACAAATTTGGAAGAGCCTCCAAACATGCGTATGTATTTCTAAACTCATGATTAATTTCTGCAGATTTCTATTTTAACATAAACTGTAAATTGTACCTTTGATCTTGGCTCAATGGGAACTATCCTTGTTATTATGTTTTTGTTTTCCACTGCGTATATGGACCATTTCCTAACAGTGGTATCAGAGCCTAGGGTACCAAATATTACAGTTTTTATTTGGATGGTTGATAACATGTATTTGATGATATTATGTTGCCTTATAAAATCTGCCTTAAAATCATGTTTTAGGAAATTTATTAATCGATTAATTTAATTGGTTGATGATCTGCAAGTTTGGTATATTGGTGATGGATTTTTGGTTGAAATCAGTGTGTATGATTGATTGAAAATCCGTTTGGAGTGTATATGGTTACTGTATGAACAGATCCGGAGCTACAGATCTGTGTACGCTTGCTGCAGTGATATAACCCATCGCCGCAGTGAGTGTTGTTCACGCTGGCGCTGGTGATGAAACCAACGCTCGCCGCAGCGATCGTCCTTAGAGCGTGGACGTCAGCATAACCAACACATGCTGCGGCGATATAACTCATCGCCGCAGCGAGCGCACTTCCGAGTGCACATGGCTAAAATGTAAAGTTTCAAAACTTTTAGACAAAATGTAGATCTGTAAATTGTCAGGGGCTAAATGATAATTAACCCACAAATTTAAAAAATTGATTGTTTTTGAAATGTATGCTTTGTACTTGTTTGCATATTGCATGTTGTCAGGTACATGAGCCTTAGACCTAAGGGTGAATGTTTTAAAAAAATTTTTTGGGTATGTATGGTTGTAAATTTATTAAATAGGGTCCGCGTGTCCTGCCTTTCTCCTTTTCTCAATTTACATTCTCTTCTCATCTCATTCCCCTCGAATGTAAATCGAGGTTTCTAAATTTATTGATGTAAAGAATTTTGTATAATTATTCTTACTGTAAATTTAAATGATATTTTTGTAATGTACTTTAAGACGGAGCAAAGAACGAGGCAACCATACTTGAAGACTCAAGATGTTTATTACAGGACCCTTAGGTGACCCACCGATTCCTCTAGGCTCGAGGAAATCTAATTTAGTTGGGCCATGTACTGGCAAGTATTATATTATGTTTAGAATGAATGTTCAATAACATACCAAACAATGTCATTCTACCAAAGATAATAATCTGATGAGACATTAAATAACAAACCCTCAATTAAAGTATATTAAGTCACGTAAGCCTTCCATCACCATGGTTTTAATCAAACCACTATTCGTCGAAGCCTTGTTCGCTAAAGTGAAGGGTATAATTCTACTAGTGGGAGGTTAAACTTCATTGGAGTTTTCCTTAATGGTGATGGGTCAACTTAAAATGATGGTTTTGCTTGTTCGCCAAAGAGAAAGTTGATAAACATGTCATAGGCATAGTAGAGCAGTACACATATTATGTGAACGTGGTGACATGTAGTGTCCACTATACTGATACTGAGAATCACACTTGAGGACAATGGTTAGAGCTATTAGATTATGTGATTGGCTTGTTGGCTTTCTCACATTTGAGGTTGATAGTGGAAGCTATCAACTAGTGTGGATTAAGTTTGTTGGCCTAAGTAATCAACTCATTTTGGCTTGTTCGCCAAAGCGAAGGTTTGAAATGGGCAGGATGGGATCTCGGTTCACTAGGAAAGTCAACGGGCTTTCCCGAGTTAATAGTGAGGGCTATTGACTTGAGTAAAATAGTGGGAGCATCATTTAATAAAAGACCATATTAAATAATAATGAACTTTATAATAACTTTATTTTTCTGCAATTGTAGATTCACCAAAATGAGCATTATGAACCTGGGACTGATAATCGAGAAAGAAAACAAGTTGGATGGATCTAATTTCTCATACTGGTATCATAATCTTCGGATTATACTCAAGTCAGAAAAGAAATTGTATATCCTTGAAAAGCCATACATGACTAAGCCTGATCCTCATGCCACTCAAGAAGTAAAGGATACTTATCAAAAGTTCCTTGATGATGCTGATAGTGTTCAATGCTTGATGTTAGCATCGATGACACCTATGCTGCAAAAGCAGCATGAGAATATGGATGCTTCTTCCATTATTCTACACCTTAAAAAGCTTTTCAAAACAAATACTCGACATAAGAGGTACAAGGTGTCGAAAGCACTATTTGGGAGTCGTTTGACTGAGGGAGCCCAAGTTGGTCCTCATGTGCTCAAGATGATGGAGCACATAGGGAGGCTTGAGACTTTGGGATGTGGCTTGGATGCAAAATTACAAATGGATTTAATTATACAATCCTTGCCTGACTCTTACGCTCCGTTCATAATGAATTTCAATATGAACACGATGGAGAAAACCCTGTTAGAACTTTTGAACATGCTTAGGACTACAGAGCAGGACTCGAAAAAGTCCTAGCCTGTTTTACTGGTTGCTGCTGGTAAACCAAAGGGTAACAGCA